TGAGCCGCTAACAGTGCAGACTGGCCACCAGGGAGTCTGCAGTCCCACCTGAGGGGCAGCCGTGGCCAGTGCTCTGTGTGGAGTGGGGGCCCTGCAGGGCCTGATTTGGTGACTTCACATCTGGTTTTAAAATTTAGATTCGACTTTTCTTTCTTTCTCGTTTTCTTTGGTGCTGAGGATTGAACCCGGGGGTCTCGCGTGTTCTAGGCTGGTGTTGTACCGCTGAGCTGCACCTTAGCCCTAGTTTCTGCCAATTTTTAAAAATCAAATCAATTAATTAATTATTTTGGGTACTGGGGGTCTAACCCAGGGGTGCCTGACTGCTGAGCCAGGTCCCCAACCCTTTTTGTCTCAATAAGTTGCTGAGGATCTTGCCAAGATGCCGAGGCCGGCCTCCGTCAGCGCCTGAGTCTCTGGGATCACAGGCCTGTGCCACTGTGCCCAGCTGCCAATTTAAGAATTTTAGAATAGTGATGTCCAGCTGTGGGGGCCTCTGTTGGCCACCACCCCAGGCCTTGCTGGGGGTTCCCCTGGCCTGAGTGCCGGTGGGGCCGTCCTGGGTCACTGGTTCCCTTGTTACCTGGTTTGTCACCTCCTCCTCCCCGTGAGCCTCATTCCCTTCCTGGCACTTCAGTCTTTGGGGACCATCTTTCAAACCAGGTGGCTATTTTTGTGGGGCCAGAAATAGTCGGCTGTGAAGAGCGAGGGACTGTGGTAGGGTAGGTGGGCATCTGAAATCTGGACCAAGTCTAGGGGCCGCGGACGCTTCGCCAGGCTGAGGAGGCCCAGCGGAGGCAGGAAGGAGGTTGACTCTCACTCCTGCCCAGGGGGCCGGATGGGGAGACAGGCCTGAAAGGCCACTTTGGCCTTGTCCTGGCTGCAGGAGGCTTCACCATGCAGGTGCAGAACTGAGAATCCCGGTGGCTGAGGACCCTGGGAGGTGTCCCCACCGAGAGCTTCAGACTTAAAAGGCCCTAAGACAAAGGGCAGGGAGGCTGGGGCCTCTGGGGCCTGCGGTCTCCTGGCAGGGAGTGTGTTTTCCCCGGGGAAAGTCACTTCTCTGTTTACTGCCCCTGATTCTCGGGAACAATAGCTCTCCCCAAGATGTGGGAGGAGTGGGAAGTGGGGGGCCAGGAAGCCTCCCCAGTCCCCCACCTTGGTCTTCCAGTGGTGAGTCTGAGCTCAGCCCTGACACATTCAGGGTATAAATCCTCTCTTAATCCCTTTCTTTTAGGGGGAAATGGGCCCCAATGGCCCTGTGACTGTGCAGAGGGCAATTTCCTGTTTTCAGGGCCCCTTTGGGCTGTTGCCTCCACAATCCTGCTCTTCTGGATTGGCTGAAGACATTCCTGATGCTGGGAAGACAACCTGGAGTGTCCAGGTGGCTGGCGCCCCTCTGGTCCTAACCTGGTCGTCCAGATGTGTCTGGGGGCACCTGGCCAGGTTGTGTGCCCAGCTGTGGACTGCGGCAAGGACAGGCATGCCGAGATGGAATCAGGAGGAGACACAGTCAGCCAGGGAACTGGCAAAGGAGGAGAATCACTTATTTTACTTATTTATTTTATTTTTGGTCCCAGAGATTGGACCCGTGGGTGCTGAACCACTGAGCCCCATCCCCAGGCCTTTGTGGTATTTTACTTAGAGACGGGGTCTCACTGAGTTGCTCTGGGCCTCGCTAAGAGACTGGCTTTGAATTTATAATCCTCCTGCCTCGGCCTCCTGAGCGTCTGGGATGACAAGCTGTGCCACCACCCCTGGCAGAAAGTAACTTGGTAGTCCTCAGGGAGGGACGGCGACCCAGGAAATACGCCACAACTTCTGGACACTGCGGTGAGGAGGCTGAGGCCAGGGTGGTCAGGGAAGGCCTCTCTGGGAGCTGGTGTTTGAGCCCAAAGCCGAAGTTGGCCAGTATGGAAAAGATGGCAGAGAACATTCTAGATGGAGGCGCATCCATGTGCAAATGGCTCGTCTGAGCAGCAGAAAGGGGGCCACTGCTCCCTGGGGGCGCTGCAGGTCTTGATAAGAGGCTCTCAGACGAGGGCTGGAGCAGGATGTGCCTGGTCTTGTGGAGGCCAGCAGACCAGCCGGTGGTTGGATAGTCATGGGACTGGAAAGTGGCAGCCAAGAAGGTTGGAATGAACAGGCAGAAGTGATGGTGGGGCAGGAGCACCCTTTGCTGAGCACCTTTTAGGTGCCAGGCACCCTACAGACCTGTCATCCTAACCCTGCCTCCCTCCCTCCCTCCCTCCCTGCTCTCTGCCTTCCTTCCCAGCACTGGGGATCAGACCCAGGGTCTTGCATGTTTCGGGCAAGCCCTCTAGCCCTGCCCTTCTGATTTTGAAACAGGGTCTTGCTAGGTTGCCCGGGCTGGCCTCCAGCTTGCAGTCCTCCTGCCTGAGCCTCCTGATTTCCTGGGATCAGGCCTGAGGCACCACACTCCCTGCACCCTGGGAGGTGGAGGATTCTTAAAGTAGCGGAGAAATGTATGAGCCCTGTACAAAAAGAAGATAGAGAAGTACTTCCCTTGCTATACCTTCCTCCCATACATAATCACACATTCCTGATGTTTCTTTTTAAAATTTTTTTGTCTAGAATGCAGTCAGTCATTTTGAATTTACTAGCCATGTGACCATGTGACCCATTCCTCTGGGCCTCAGTTACCGTGTCAATAAAATGGGGTTTCTGAGAACCTACTGTCTCCCAAAACTGTGGTGAATTGGAAGTAAGTAGATTCTTATTTAGAAAATCCCCCCCTCCCCCTGTTCCGCGGGAGGCAGCTGTTTGTTTCTGGCCCTCCTCCCTGGAGGGCTGGCCCTCCCCTGATGCTGGTGGCCTGGATATCTGGAGTTGCTTGGTGACTATCTGTGAGTGACTGTGGCCTTTGTTTTCTTCCCTTTGAAATGCAGGTGAGACGCTGGGTGTCCTCAGCCCAGGCCTGGCCAGGCGGGTTGCAGCAGCAGGTGGCATGTTTACTCAGGGTTAGGCCTCCTGCAGGCTCACCGGAAGGCCCTTGATACCGGGCTTCCCAGCACAGTGGACATTATGGACCTGATCAGTCTGTCCTGGGGCCCTCCTGTGGGGTGTTTGGCTGAGTCCCTGGTCTCTGTCCACCACAGGCCAGTAGCAGCCCCTCTCTTTGTCTACCGTATCAATAAAATGGGGTTTCTGAGGGGTTTGGCAATTACCAAAGTTATCTCCAGACATTGCTGCTGGGTGTCCTGGGGGGACCCACTTGGTGACCTCTGTTCCACACTGTTTTAAACATCTGAGTCCCTTAACGGTGGCCCCTGGATGGATGTGCGGTTGGGGGAGGGCTGCCCTGAGCTCCTGCTGGATACTGGATCCTGGGGATACAGATCGGGGGTAGGAGCACCTGGCATGTCCTGAGAGTTCCATCAATCTGTTGTCCCCATCCCCCACTTAAAGTGTCACAGCTTTCAGGGGCCCAGCACTTACTGAGTGTCCTAGGTCTTGGCCAACCCAGCGCGTGCCTGGCCCCTCCTGCACCTGGGTCTTGTGGCTGCCTGGTTTCTGAGGCCTTTGTGCCCTGACAGCACACAGATGCGTCTCTGCATCCCACCATGTGGGCGCCCCGCGATGCTCTGCGTCCCACTCCCCCGTGGGTGGGCACTGTCTTGGGCTCCCATGGCCACGCTGCAGTGGCTGCCCTGGTGCCCGCTCTGAGTGCGCCTCGCCCGTGGGCAGTAGGAAGGGCATCTCGGCCTCGCCCACTGGGGTCCCGGGG